AATTGGGAAGAAATACCCCCGAAAATAGATTCCTTTTTTAAAATTAGGAAAAAAGGCCAAAAAAAAAAAAAAAAAAAAAAAAAAAAAAAAAAATAGCTGAAGGAGTCGAGTCACTGAAGTTTCTCATAAGGTCTGGGATGTTCAGCAGGGGCCCTTCCTGAGGTATCTGACAGCATTTTCATGCAGCTGTTTGATGTGAGATTTTGCCACCATGTAGGTGAGAGGTCATTTGTTTACCATGGAGACCACAGAAAATAAAAAAAAAAGCAACTGATATATTTGCAGGCTGGTATTTCTGTGACACTTTCTCTCTTTGTTTCTGCATGTGCATCCTCGCCCTAAATTAATTTCATCTTCATTCAAATGCCCTTACAGAACATTGGAAAACCTTCATCGATGTACCGCGAGAATAATTATTTGACAAATATGAATATATTAAATAAGAAACATTTTCTTGTAGAAACATAACACGAGAAACACAATGAGATTTTCTCTCTAATGTGTTTTCAGCACCTTGTTACTATTTAATGAATCGTTACATCTGTTACCATTTAGACCATTTCATACACATTTCATAACCTGTTTATTTAATTTCTGGCATTAAATAAATAACAAAAAACTACCGATTAGCTTAAGCTAATGCCATGCCACCAGTAAATTGTAGCTATTAGCTACTACAAGTAGCTACACGGTGTCATTTAGTAAAAATAGGCTAATCAAGTGCACAGTTTCAGCACCCTGATGTATGCATTACTATAAAATTTTAAAGTTTGAATCTTATGAAACCAGTAAAATGCATTTTTAGCTACTTGTTATAATTATTTAGCCTATATAGCTATAAGTTGTGGCTGCACAGTGGGGGACTGGTAGCAGCGTTGCCTTGCAGCAAGAAGGTCCTGAGTTCAAATCTCAGCCTTGGGTCTCTCTGTGTGGAGTTTGCCTGTTCTCCTTGTGTATTTGTGGGTTCTCTCTGGGTACTCCAGCATCCTCCCACAGTTCAAAAACATGACGTAGGTTAGTCGGCCTCTCTAAATTGTTCTTAGGTGTGAACATGTGTGTGTCTGTATGCTGATAACCTATCCTGGGTGTCCAGGACCCCTGTAGATAGGAACCAGTCCTCCCTGCAGCTCTGCAAGGATGAGCGGTTATAAACATGAATAGAAATGGATATAGGTGGATGCAACAACCTTTTGTTTCATTGAAACTGTTTTAGAAATGCTTTTAAATATTCCCCTTTCTTTTCCCTGCAAATTTACAGTCTACAGACTCATTAAATTTACAAAGAGGTTAAAATGTAAACATGCTTTTTAAAAAAAAAAAAAAAAACGAGCATTCCTACTTGGCTTTAACCGCATGTGGCAGTTGTTGAATTTCTGCTCGTCGCAGTAGTAATGGCTCCATCAGTTAACACCATCTCCATGCATTTCACACGTGTAATCAATTTGAGCTTGGACGGTCAACACTGAAATTTCCCTGATAGATAACACCGGGCGCTCGCTTGTCGCCTCCGGTGTTGTCTGAGGCGTTTAGCACACCTGGTGAGGAGTGAGAAGCAGACCTCTGATCAGCTCCGACTGTGGCCTCACTCTTTATTTCTGTCACCAGGCCAGGAGCCGGGCCTCTGTCAACCAGCGTCACCACATGATGGGTCCTGAGACCAGGGGGGAAATTCAGAGTGTCGGTCTGGTCACTTTGTGCTTCCTGTTTATTGTGGTCTAAGGCTGACAGTTTAACTACAGGTGCATGTGGGCGTCCTCACGACCTGCTATCAACTGATCTACAGAATGACTGCCATTTTGTCTGTGTTTTAAAAGCCTGCGTGGTTCTCTTCTCTTCTCCTCTCTTATTGATGCCGAACAGCATCAATAACGCTGTTCGGCAGTTATTGATGCTCATACTGATTGTGGGTTTATTGACGGGAGTGATTTAACATCGACTAATTATTGCAAGGTCAGAATCTTCGCACTCTACACCCGCGTGCCTCAGCTAGTCTTGTGTGAAGCTTTTTCCATAAAGTACAATCTATCTAACTCAATCGTTACCCTGCAGCTGCTGCTAAAAGTTAAGTGGAAAAAAAAAGGGTGAGTGATTGAAGTTTATAGCAGATATTCCAAACTTAAAGAGTAGTGATGTCTCCATCACCTGAAAATGGAAAGAGTATCGCACAACTACAAACTTACCAAGACAACGATGCCTACCTAAATTGACAGACTGGCCAACGAGACAATTAATCAGAAAACCATGAAGGAGACCCTTGGTTACTCTGACGGAGCTGCAGAGACGCATATGGGGGATATCCAGTGACGTTACAGTCAGCAAATCTGGGATTTATGTGTTAAGAAATCAATTGTTAAAATAGAGGGAAGAGAGGAGGTGAAGGTGATCAGGTTCAATGAAATTCTATTTTTTCACCTACATACAAAATGGTGAGGCAGAAAACCAAAATCCTGATCACACCATCTCCACCATAAAGCAAAGGTGGCAACTTACAGCGGAGATGCTTTTTTTCAGAGACACTAAAACCGGTAAGAGTTGTTGGGAGCATGGATTAAACCTGGAGGAAAACTCGATAGAGACTGCAGAGACTTGAGCCTGGAGCTGTGGATCATCTTCCTACATGAGATTGAACTCTAGATCAAAACAAATAAATTTGTAAGAATGGCCAAGAATTAAATCTGATTAGCAATTGATTGAAAATTTAAAGTTAAGGTGTTTTTGCACAGATGAACGGTCAGAAATTTCAGTCTCTCCATGCACACTTTGAGCTGGGGTTGAATTCAAATGTCACTTTTTTTTTAATTATTTGTAAAAAATAAAAATAAAAAGTATCAAAAAGTTGTTGAGCTTCATAATTATTCACTAATTTGCATTGGTCTATCACAGAATGGCATTAAAAAACAAGTTTGGGGTAATAATGAGAGAAAATTTGGAAAACGTCTAGGTGTTTGAACACATTAAAGGGCCTGAATCTGCCTTTGTTTTCAACTTTGTGTGTATGATTAAACATTATGCATGAATGATCACTGCCAGATGCTGCGCAACCTCCAGATAATGTGTCTATTTCATTGTGCTTTTGCCGTCACTGCCACACTATTAACACGCATCTGCTAAGCTGTACTAAACCCTGCTCTGACTTTGACCTTTTCCACCGACTGCCTGCACTTCTCCTCCACTGCCACAAGTGGGAGCTGCATCGTTTATCATGAGCTAAAGGTGAGAGAGGACATGAGTTTTTCTGTGTTTTTTTTTTTCTTCTTTTTTTTAAATTTTATTTCTGCTAACCAGTTTCGGCGTAGAATCACTGGGAGAAATGAACGTGAGCACATCACGAAGAAATGTGTAAACGGCTGAGGGTGCGAAGGAAGACACAGACGAGACATGGCACCGCAGCCGGAGTGGGTTTGATGCAGAAAGAACAGACAATTCCTGCAGGCATCTGTCAGCAAGCAGATATGCAGATGTTTGGGCTTCCCCCGCCCTCTCTTAAATCTCCAGATGTTTCAAAGACTTTCAGTCACACCTCTGTATGTCTGTTTGGTGTTTATGTGACTGTAGGCCAGAGACCCAGTCACATCCACTTCTGTTTACTTTGTCGCTGTCCTTTAAAGAGTTCCTCCTGTGATCATTTTGACTCTTGTGAGATGAAACTTTACGCTGTGGATGTTTATCACTGTGAGGGCTTACGTTTTGTGGTTCTGTTTTGTGTCAATCCATCATGAAGACCTTGCAGACCGGACAGACTCAGGGGCGCTGTGAGAGGGCGTTAGGAAACGTCTGTGATGAAACGGGAGGCCCTCAGTGGGTGTAATAGCCGTAGTAGTCTGGATCGCTGTTGCTGTCTTTTTCACAGACCTCCCCAGCACGCGGAGGCGGGGAGTTTTCAGTGCTGGACGTGTAGGGCGACACTCTCCTCTTCTTGTTTCCCTCGAACATGCCCGAGTCGGCCGAGTCTGCTGATTTGACGGAGGGCGGCTCGAGCCAGGGGTCCTCGGCTGCCACCCCGGTGGGGTCTTTCGGCTTTTCGTGCAGCACGGGCGGCTGCAGGGACTCCAGGAGCGAGGGCGCGTGCAGCCTGGGGTTCCCGGGGGGCGTGGAAGACGACGACGAGGAAGAAGAGGACGAAATGGGCCTGAACCAGCTCAGACTGGGGGCGGGTTTGCTGGGATACTGTGGGGTGTGCCTGCTGGCGCTCCATCCCGCTGACCCGGCCGCTGATACCGACACGCTGCTCGACGCAAAAGGATGCTCTGGGTAGTAGCTGAGGGCATGGTGAGCGGACGTCTGCAGGGGGAACGGCTTGTAGAAGCCGTTTCCAGAAAAGTCCCCCTCATAGGAGGATGCGAAGTCAAGCCGGTTTGGTGGTATGTTCTGCTGCGGGGGCAGGTACCAGCGACTGTGCGGTCCCGGACTAGAGGACGGGTCTTTGTGCTGCTGGCCCATGCCGATGTGATCGCGGCCGTAGAAGCGGGTCTGCGACAGGGGGCTAATATATTGTTCAGAAAGGTAGCTCTGTGGGTAGCAGGTCCCCGGTAACAACTGCTGGCCCTCTGTAGGAGAAGGGGTGAGGCGATCAGAGTCGGGAGGAGCGTAGAGCCTAGGCAGCAGGGAGGAGGAGGGGAAGAGAAGAGAGTGTGAGAAGAAGAGGAAAAAGAAGAAGGTGTTATTTCCTGCCCAAACCTCAAACAACTATCAAACATCTCTCAGCCCCTTACACCCTTTCACTGCAGCATGCTCAGCAGCAGCGCAGTAATTGCATCTATTCTAATATTAAAAAGGCGACATGAGCACTCAGGGCATTTCAGTGACAGCACTGATCCAGTTGAATTATTTAGGCAGAGTTCACACAATGTTCTCAAACCGGAGCGAAAAAGGAAAGGATTTGCTGCTGCTGCTGCTGCTGCTGCTTTCTCTTTACAAACACAAGTATTTTCCAAATTACTTACGTGTCGTAATTGTCGCGGAAACCTTTTGCGAAGGGGTTATGGTCTATTTTCAGCTGAGTGATCTGTGTAGGGAACAGGAGGAGGGCAGCGAGAGAATGTAGGCACAGGAAAAAGAGAAGGAGTGAGCAACTACCATGAAGAAACAAGAGAGCAGTTAGAGAGGAGGTCACTGACTAATAATTAATGAGGTCAACATGCTGGAAAGAGTTGATATTTAGAACCACAAAGTGGGTGATCACACCTACAGAATCGATGCCAGTATGTCTGTGCTAAGCGTTGACAACGTTTTAGATGATGCAGCTGTCAGTGAAACATTGAGTAGTCGGCGACTCTCAGTTGAACTGGCGTTGCACCGATTGCACAGTCACATGTACAGTGCAGTGAAAAAGGTATTTGTCCCATTGCAGACTTTCTTCTGTCATGAAGCAAATTCGTAGCCAGCAAAGATAAGCAAAGCAGACACATGATACAATCCCTAAAGGATGATTTCATTCATCAAGGGAAAAAAAGCGATCTAATATAAGAAATCACCGAGATAGATCCTGTGTGAAAATATGAAGTAGGCTGTAAGATCTTTAAAGCAGCACATCGTCCCCCAATCTAAAGAAGTTTAAAACAGATCAGCCACAAAGTCATTGACTTTTATCAGTCTTGAAAGCGCTCACAAAGTGCTTGGGAGCACCATTATCCACAAATGGAAAATATCTGGAACAATGACAGAACATTGTCAGGAGTTACTCAAATTACTGAAGCAGCATTCCTCCATGAAGCCATAAAAGAAACTCAAACTCACTTGCCTCACCTGAAGCCCGCGTTTATAAAAGTCAGGGGAAAAAAATGGTATCCACTGGAGAGCTCCAAGATCAAAGCTTATGCATGCAAAACCTTTTTGTTCTCACAACAAATGGCAAATTTTGATGACGACAAAGACTCTTTGGAAAATATTAATTAAGTGGTGCTTCCTGTTACATCTGGTGAAGAACTAATAAAGTACAATTTACTGACAGCGAAACACGGCGGTGAAAATTTCATGGTCCGGGATTACTTTGCTGTTTTCCATAATGGAACTGCGTACTCTTCTCTTGAGCAGAAAATCAGAATGGGGAATGTCAGTCCGTCAGTACGTGACGTTCAGTCGTAGCGCACCTGAGTTATGCAGCAGGAGTGATGAAAACGCACTGAGGAGTCCACTTTGGAAAAGTTAATGGACTTAATGGACTCCAAATGGCTAATGGGCTTAAATTATGACCTTAATCAGGCCATTAATGCGCTCTAATGCGGCTCAATTCTGCAAGAATATAGGGCCAAAATTCCTCCACAGCTGTGTAAAATACTCTTCACCAGGCATCACAAATGCTTAATGGCAGTTGTTGTCGCAAAAGACGGCACAACTGATTATGAAGTTTAGGACTCACTAACTTTTTCACATTTGGCCATGTTGATTTGGATGCTTTTTTCCCCATTAGGCATGAAATCATCATTTAAAAATTTATTTTTGTGTTTACCCAGGTTACCCTTGTCTGCTGTTAAAATTAGTTTTGTCATTTGAAACATGCAAGTGAGAAAAAAAACAACAAAAAAAAAAACAGAAAAATTCTGGACGGGTGCAAATAGTTTTTCCACACCACTGCATGCATGCAAATATCAGATCCATTCAGTGTTTTAAAAGAACTATAACAGCTCCGTAATAATATAATGTAATTTCTTCCAGTGAACAATATGTGCTAAAAAAAAAAAAAAAATCTTACGTCTGCGTTCTGATAAGCGGTGACGGCGATGAACTGCGTCTCTGGAAAGACAAAGGTCTGAGCTTTAGAGGACAGGAAGGGGTCCTCTGAGCCGTCCTCCTTCACCTCCACTATGTGAAGACGTGGCTGGTACTTGTGGAGCGACTGGAGCACAATCATCTGAGGGCAAAGCGCAATTAAATTCACAAAATTACCTTAATAGAACAAAGAAAGTCAAATGATGCTAGAGCACTTTCACACAATGATTTTTAGTGATTTTGACAACATGTCAGGAAGTAGGCAGGGATACCTGTGCCACGTTGTTGGTGCTGCCCTTGTTGTTGGTGAGCTTGAGCTTGCTGAATGACACTTCTTGTCTCATCCAATGAGCCCCGGAGTTAGGAGAGTCAGGGTGCATGTACATCCGATTCCCTGGAGTCACCAAAGGAAGTCATCAGCCACAGGAGCACGGTTCGTAGTTGCGCGTCGACGGTGACTTACAAAAGTACTGTTTACCACTTGACCTTTTACATTTTGACCTCATTTTATTTGATAGGGATTTCATGTGGTAGACAAGACAGCAGGGAAGCCCGATGAAAACCAGTCAAGTTTCCCTGTCTCTGCTAAGGAAAAGCATCCCCACAGAATGACTACGCCTCTACCGTGTTTTACTGTGGGTATAGTTTGTTTCAAACTATAGCATTTTGGACTTTAGATTCATCCAACCTAAACACATTTTTCATGTTTTGATGTGGGCCCTTACATGTCTTGAGACAAACTTTGAATTGGACTTCTTACGGTTTTTGTTGAACAATGGGTTTCTTTTTGGCATTTTTCCAATCTGAAGACTAATCTGAGATTCATCAAGAGATTCTCCAATTTCAGATTAGGGCCTCTGGGTTCCTCTGATTAATGCTGACCTCATCTGACCTGTCAGTTTGCTGCTCTGTTACATAAAACCCCAATAAAATACACTGCGGATTGTGGTTGTAACAAGACAGAAATATGACAAATTTGAACTATTACGAATATTTTTGCAAGGTTCTCGAATAGATTAATAGATGAATTAATAGATTAATAGGTCACATAACCCATCCATCCATTTTGTACTGTTTAAAAAATGCAGAACATTTGATTTCTATTTGCAAAAAAATTTGAAAAAGCAATATTATTTAGTTTTTTCTGTCATGGCCAATTGCTACATCCTGTAATCAAGCATGCTGTGCTTTCTTATTCTTTTGATACATCACTGCTCTCACATCATCTATACCACCGTGAATTTTCACAGCATCACCACAGTGACCTTCTAACCTGAATTTGTTCATACCACATGAAGTGCACTATTAAATCTAATTGAGAAAAGCCGTGTCACCACAGTTTCCACAACTTTAGCACAACATCATTCACCTTTTCCACAACAACTGGCAAATGTGCGACAACACCTTAGAGTTTCTCTCATTTAGACAAATGTGGTTTGTTTATCATCAATCATGGGTTCGACTTGCTTTTATGTGTATGTGTTTTATTCAAGTGAGAACAGGAAGAACTGCTGAATGGAAGGAGAAGAGATCAAGGAGTATAAGAGGAAGGGAAAAAAAAAATTCTTTACAAAAAAGTCTTTTCAAAATGAAATTGCGTGGGCTCCAAATCGACCTGAAAGGATCTAAACACATGGACCAATAGTTTTGTTCATATCCTAATTTTAACATTTAATATAAAACCATTTTTTGAAAGTTCAAAGAAGCAGATACATGCTTGGTAGGGATTACTGTGACACCAACAACACGACACAAGCGATCGTCGCTACTTGCTGGTCCAGGAGGAGTGAATGCAATCAATGCAATCTATTGGGTTTCCTCAAAAACTTTGTAAGCTACTTTGAAATAAGTAGGATCAATTGGCACGTAGATTGAACTGAAAGAAATCTTTTTGTAAAGTGCCTCAAGATGACCTTTGTTCGGAAACATTTTTCATCTGCTTTCAAATCCTTCAAAAGGCGTCGAAACGGTGGAAGGAGGCGATCTATCGGGAGAGACCAAAGTGGATTTTTTTTCTTTTTCTTTTTCTCTTACTTACAAAATACAGCGCGAAGAGAGAAAGTGACACTTTGCTTCACTCTGAACACACCAATTCACATGGTGGCACACGACAGTGGCAGTTTTTACTCTGTGGTTTATGAATGACCAGAGGAACCTCAGCGAGGGGCTTGGTTTTAGACTTCTCACCGAACTGTGGAGAGATGCGACTACTTGAGTTACATCCTCAGCATGTCATCAAGAATGCTTTATCTTAACTCATTTTGCCACCAGATCTGATCAGATTTCACTGCCTCTGAGGAAGAATAGCCTTCACACAGCATGATGCTGCCTCCGACATGCGTCACTGTGAGCATAGTGCTTTCAGGATGAAGTGCAAGAATGGGCTGTGATCACTTTTTCCAGGCATCGTGTCATTTTTATACAGTATGTAATTTTTGGAGTAATTGTATTGATTAAAAAGATGTCCAGCTGTTAAGATACAGTAACATCTAGAGCAGTGGTGTCAAACTCATTTTAATTTTGGGCCGAATCAAAAATCTGAATGTTCTTAAAGGGCTGGTTCTACCAGAATCTATTGATAAAACCAATAAAACTGTTAAAATATCAATAAATAGCTGTTCTTCCAGGATTTGTGATTGTTTTAGTGTTTGTTTTTTTTTTTGCAATCAAAATTACAGATTTTGTGGTGAATATTAAGAAAAATTTGTAATTTTTTTTTTTTTTTTACAATATTTGCGCTAATGTATGATGTTAAATGTGACTCTTTATGACTCGCCGTATCAGTTACGGATTCAATGTTTTTGACCAATTTTGAGAAAATTTGCAGTAAAATCAGGAAAAAATGTGGAAATTTGTTGATTTTGTGCGATTTTTTGCAGATTTGTGAAAAACTGGAAGGACTTATTGATGTAATTTGGAGTCCAGAGGGCCACATAAAAAGCTACAGCAGGCCAGATTTGGCCCCCGGGCCTGGAGTTTGACACCTGTGATCTAGAGGCTCAAGTGGAAAACGTTGTGACTTTATTGCGCAGACATTGATAATTAAATCTGTAAAAACCATAAAAGTAAAGTTACCACTCATTAAAATAGCACATCTAGCCTTTTTTTTTTTTTTTTGCTGCTTCTAAATAGTTAAAAAGTCCAGACAGTGAACTGTAGCTTCAGCTAGCAATTTAAGTCGGTTTCCATCAAACCAAACAGAACATGCAGAGAAGTGGCAGACGTGAAGCGACACCAGAGCGTCCACAAGAAAGTGCCTACCAGTGCATCATGATGCACATTCTGGTTGCCTCTATTGCCTGTGGATGTGCTGCTACACAAACCACTTCCTCGAGATCCTCCATGTTGCACGCATTGAGATGAAAACTTCTTAGCTCCCCAAAGACTGAAAAGAGGTTTTGTACTCCACCTGATGTTATCTAATCTACAACTGAAAATCTGGGTTCACGAAGATTACTTTGAGTTTTTTCTCCATCAGTTGTGGCGGGAGGAGGGGCGGGAGGGTAAGTGTGTTATTGGCAGGCACTGGCGCAGGTTTTTTTTTTCTGTTTTTTTTTTTTTTTTTTTTTTTTTGCTTGAAGTTATTTGTGAAGCAGTAAGAGCCTTATGACGTCTTCTGAGATTCATGACATTACTTGAAATGAATAATTTTGAAAAGATGAGAGGAAGAAAAAGAACCACTTTCAGGACAAAAGTTACTTTATTACTACTGGGAGAATGAAATATGTTGCTTTCAACACATCAATACCAAAGTGAAAACTGCTGGTTATGTAAGAAAAACAGTTTCAGCATAAAGTACGATGTGCAGAAAATTTGTGCTGCACTAACATAAGTGTGACTAGTGAAAGTGGTAAAATTAACTTGACCGAGAAACCAATCTAAAAGTGTTTAGTTTATTTACTGAGTAAAATCATCCTGAAGCTTAATAATGCGATAATGTCTGCTGGTAAGAAATTTAGAAAAACTTTTACTTTTTGTTTTTATATGTGTAATTTTTACCTAATAATCTTGCATTTTTACTCCATTTTGACATTTGAAAATGCAAATTTCATCTAGTGGATTTCTTTTATACTATGGTTTTATACACACCTGGCATGTTTCCCTCTGCTTTCCCACACTGGACCCATTTGCCTCCCTGGTACCTCCAGTGGTGCTGATCGGCCAGAACCACGTCTACGTAGACGTTATAGTGGGCAGACGGATCCAGCACGCTGATGTTGAAGCTCAGGAAGGGAAACATCCTCCTGGATAAAAACAAGCGAATGTTTATCTGATGTTTCTTGAACACACACACCTTGTAGAATGAAGAAGAAACACAAAATCTTACCAAGTATTTTTGGACTAGTTTCTAGTGCCAATATTTCAGCAAACTTGAAATAAGCCAAAACTAACTTACAGGTAACTTTTAGTAAGATATAGAGGCTTATTTTAAACAAATCATTTCTTAACATTGATAAAAAAAGTGTCAGTTCCATCAGCAGATTATTTAACTTGTAACAACACATTCTTCCCATGTTATAAGAACATTTTTCTTTGAATACAACTAGTACTTTTTCCATTATTTAGTAAGGAATTATTTACTTAAAACAAACCTCTATACCTTGCTAAAAAGTTTCTTTTAAGTTAGTTGGTCTTATTTTAAGCGTAATAAGATATTTGCACTAGACACTAGACAAAAAAATAAATATGATTTTGTGTTTTTGTCATGTACGTCTGTGAAACTCTCCTATATCACAATTATTAACTAAGTTCATTCCTTCTATTTCTTTATTGGTTTGGTAACACACCCCTGGTGCGTCACCTAAAAATACATGTTTTAAGTGGCTGATCGATCCTGGTCAAATGTGCATTAAACTCAGAGAACTTTTGTCCAACAAAGAAGCTGAGAACCTGCTAAACCTTTGGAGCTCTGGGTGTCAAAAATGCCTGTCTTGCATTGATCGTTTTGTTAAGGTGTTCATTTTGAAGACTTGCCAGACTTTATTTTGATTTATTATAAAAGATGTGCATTTAAGACTGTCTGCACTCTGAATTCAGTGTGCAGAACCTCCAGACACTCAAATCAAGACCCAGAGAGACCGCTGTGGCTGGCGCTGTCATCTGTGTCCGGACTTGTGTCTAAACCAAAGAGACGTGTGAGAAGGGATCTGCTCAGTGGTGATACTTCTGGTTCTGTAACTCGCAACTCGCAATACATCTTGTTTTGGAGCCAATAGGTGCTTTTTTATCCTCTTGTTCTGAGTAAATGGTGAACTCTTACATTAGTTTCCCTTTAATGTGAGCTTGCTACAGTAATTCTGGGCAGAAAGTGGGACCCATATGATTGTAGTTGTGAGGTGAAGCAGCGGTTTCAGCAACAACCATCTGAGACTGAGCTGCGCCTACGAAGAGTAAGAAAGGAACACTATCTGCACCGTTTTATTGTTTTTATTGTCACAAGAATCTGGATGTATTGTGAAAACGAAGAGGGTTGTTAATCCCCAAAATTTAAAGTATTGAATTAAAATGTTTTTTTTTGCTGTTTTCACTCAATTTAAAGATATAATTGAAGTTTCAGCAATATTTTCCATCATCCAGTGTTTTCAGATTATGACATAAATTTTCTTTAAAAAACTTATGATTAAATAAACATATTTGTGTGACATATACTGTCTCACCTTTAACATAACTAGTCAGTATAAAAAATCCCAACATATTAGAAAAGAGGGGACATTTACATGAAAATCTGAAATAGTCTCAATTTATTATAAGGGATTTAAAAAAAAAAAAAAAAAAGATTCCTGTGGGGGCGTCAGCACACCAAATACCCGCTTTGTTTCCTTAGAATTAGAGTGTAAGCGAAGAAGGGGCGGGGAGGCGGGGGTTTGGAGGAGGCTGAGACTGTGGGTGAATATTTAATGCTGCTGTTAATAAAAGATGCCCCAGAAGATGCTCTTGATTGCCGGGGCTTTACACGTTGAACTCATTTTGACCACCAATGGTTTCAGTGAGACGAGGTAACTGGGAGGTCAGGGCGTCCCCAGGTTCACTCCCAGGGAAAGGGGAGGAAAAAACTGAGTTACTCCAAATCAAAATGACACACAGCTGTGGCTACAAACACTCGGCACCCAAAAATGCATGTCAGAGACATGACAGAGAAGCTGTAAAATTAGCTTTCCTGCGAAACTGACATGTAGTGCTAAGGCAACAAAATTATATATA